TTTTACTTGTGTTTTTTTCTTTCTCTTTTTCTTAAAGCAAGCCCTTTGACATGTGTTGCAGTACTGGTTTGGTGTTAAAAAATTTCTTTAGCTTTTTCTTGTCTAAAAAGCTCCTTATTTCTTCTTCAATTTTAAATGATATCCTTGCTGGGTAAAGTAACCTTGGTTGTTGATCCTTGCTTTTCATCACCTTGAATATTTTACACCACTCCTTTCTGGCCTGAGATGTTTCTTTATTTTTATTTTTAATTATTTTATTGTTGTTCAAGTATAGTTGTCTGTATTTACCCCTCACTACTTGCCCCCATCCCAGCCGTCCCCACCTCCCTTTCCTGATTCCATCCACCCTTGGTTTTGTCCATGTGTCCTTTATAGTTGTTCCTGAAAATGCTTCCTCCTTTTCCCCCGTTATCCTCTCCCACCTCCCCTCTGGTTACTACCAAACTGTTTTTAATTTCAATGTCTCTGGTTATATTTTGCTTGCTTTTTTGTTTTGTTGATTAGGTTCTACTTAAAGGTGAGGTCATATGGTATTTGTCTTTCACTGCTTGGCTTATTTCACTTAGGATAATGCTCTCCAGTTCCATACATGCTATTATGAAGGGTAGGAGCTCCTTCTTTCTTTCTGCTGCATAATATTCCATTGTGTAACTGTACCATTCTTTTTTGATCCATTCATTTGCTGATGGGCACTTAGGTTGCTTCCAGCACTTGCCTGTTGTATATTGTGCTGCTGTGAACATTGAAGTGCATAGGTTTTTTTGGATTGGTGTTTTAGGGTTCTTGGCATTATTATGAAAAGATGCTCAGCATCACTAGCCATTAGAGTGATGCAACTTAAAGCCACAATGATATACTACTTCACACTAGTGAGAATGACCATCATAAACAATCAACAAATAAGTGTTGGGGAGGATGTGGAGAAAAGGGAACCCTAGTGCTCTGTTGGTGGGAATGCAGACTGGTGCAGCCACTGTGAAATGTTTCTGCTGAGTAATCAGATGCCAGTTTAATTGGTGCTCCCTTGTAGGTAACTATCTGCTGTCCTCTTGCAGTTTTTAAGATCCTCTTCTTGTCTCTTACCTTTGCCATTTTAATTATGATGTGTCTGTGTGTAGCCCCCTTTGGGTCAATTTTGGGAACTCTGTGTTTCCTGGACATGTGTTGTTTTTTTTTTTTCATTCACCACATTAGGGAAGTTTTCAGTCATTATTTCTTCAAATAGGTTCTTGATCCCTTGCTTGCTCTCTTTTACTTCTGGTATTCCCATGATGTGGATGTTGTTATGCTTCATGTTCTCATTTTTTTAGTGTTTTTTCTTTATTTTGCTGCTCTGCTTGTGTATCTTTTTTTACCTTGTCTTTCAATTTCCTCATTTGAACCTCTGCTTCATCTAACCTACAGGTTATTCCTTCTTGTGTATTTTTTATTTCTTATATTGCATTATTTTTTATCTGATTTGTCCTTTTTTATGGTTTGTATGCCTTTTAAAATGCTGTTGAGCATCCTTATAATCATTACTCTAAACTCTTTATCTGATAAATTGATTGTATGTATTTCATTTAGTTTTTCTAAACTAAATGAGAATTCTCTTGTTCTTTCACTTGGGGCCTGTTTCTTTGTATTCACATTTTGGCTGCTTCTTTATATTTGTGTCTATGTATCTGGTAGATCTGCCCAGACTCTGGGGTAGTGTGTGTCAGATGCTGCCTGTGACTTACCCTGGGCAACTTGTTGGAGCTATCAGCAGTCCACAGCTTGTAGCTTCTACTGCTGGGTCTGGGTGTGTGCACAAAGAACCAAACTGTGCACAATGGGCCTGCTTTTACCAGCACCAGCTAATGTCTCAGAGCTCCTAGAGATTCACCTTTGCTATTATACTTAATCACTGTGATTGCCTCCAGCTGCCCTCAGCATCCTGGCTTAAGCTCCATAGGGTGGGGAAAGAGGGATTCCTGTGAGTGGGGCTATGCTTCCCCTCAGGCTGATGGCGCATAGAAGGCAGTACTGTTCCTGAGAGAGATGGTTTCTGCACTATGGAGAACGACTTAGCACTAGGGATCCCAGTGGCTGATCTGTCAGTTCTCTCTCCAGAGCCAACCTCAGACTCTCCTCATGAATCTCTAGTCCACTCTGCTCTCTCTCTCCTGGAGTCCATGCAAGTGTATGCAAATGAAATTTTGTGCATTGGCCCTCTTAAGAGTCTCTCTTCACCTTTAGCCAGTACTCCCTGACAGACAGAAACCCTATGGCTTTTCATAGCTGGTTGTTATTTGGGTTCCTTTCTTAGTTCTGGTGCTCTAGGCTAGGGTGCCCAACTTGGGGTTTAGACTCCACACTTCTCAGGGGGAACCCCACAGCAGGTGAAATATCACTCTGGACCTTCAGCTGCTGCCTGTGGGAGCCCAGCCAGCCTTCTCCCACCTCCACACTTTCTACCAGTCTTGTTGTAGTGAGGTGGTTTCCTCTGTCTGTCCTTGGTTATAAGGCTTTTCTCAGCTAGTGTGTTCAGTTTGTAATTCAGGATGATTTTTCTTTAATTTAGTTGTAATTCCAGTTTGGTCCTGGGAGAAGGTTAGTGTAGCTTCCATATACCCTGCTTCCATTTTGTTCTCCTTTAAATTTGTGTAAAGAAGCAAGTAATATGTAACTCAGTGCTATTTCTTAATCATCAAAATTGATTCCCAATGACTTAGCTGTTTTCAAAAATCACCTGAATCTTCAGGAGGCAAATATTTGCTGCCACTAAGAAGCTCAAGAAATTGAACTTGAATGTGGACTAATCCAACTTGAATGTAGGAAGTTGAAACCAATTTGCCAGAAGTTGTTTTTTAGTATCTTCATGCCACAGCTTATCAAAATACTATACTTAAATGGACAATTTTTGGATCATCTTAAAATATAAAATTTGTAAGTTGTAAGGCCTTAGTGGATTATATAACCACATATTATAAGGGGCCAAAGATAGTACTTGCTGCTGCTGTAGGAATTTCCTATGATGAACTGCTCAAGTTATCAACGTTTCATTTTGGAGACTGTTGGTTCACATACAAAGCAGAAGTACCAGCTCTGGCTCACTGCAAATTGCCAGGAAGTGAGATTCGAGTGGGAGGTGACAAGATTCCTTTGGCACACTTTGCAATAGCTGTTGGTTGGGCACATACAGATACAATATGTCCCATGTTTGCAAATACACTGATTGGCAGCTGTAATCACTCTTTAGAAGGAAGAATGAATTTATCTAGCAATCAGGCCCAGCTTACCTGTCATGGCAACCTCTTCCATAGCTTCCAGTTTTTCAACACTTCTTACACAGCTGCAGGATTATGGGGAATGTATATGGTTTGTAAACCAGCCACCATTGCAGACATGCTACATGCCGTTCAAAAAGAATGGGTGTGACTCTGTACCATTGTCACTGAAAGTGAAGTTGCATGAGCCAAAAACCTGAAAACATATTGTTGCAACTGAATGTTCCACTCCAATTTGTGAAGATACTGGTAAGCAAGGGTTATACTGTGGTAGAAGAAATCCCATTGCTGTGCTTGAAGCAAGAATTAATGCTGTGAATGAGAAAATCTGAGAAGTGTATACCAAATATATTTATGATAAGAGTCCAGCTATTGCTGCTGGTGGTCCCACTGAACAACTTTCAGATTTTAACTTGATTCACAGAAATATGTGCTGTCTTCATGATTAAAATTCTCCTAATCAAAATATTTTGAACATATGTATTTATAAAGCTAACAGGGGTTGGCAAGTTTTAAGCTGTTAATCTCTAGAGAAAAAAATTAAAATGAATATACATACTTGGAAATTTGAATGAAATACTGTGTCAAACCTTCAAAGGATAAGACTACCACAGTGAATGGTAGATCTCTGAGAAATTATGCTGGAACTGCATAATTTCAAATCATCACCATAATTTTTTTTATTGTTCAAGTACAGTTGTCTCCATTTCCCCCCTCCCCCCACCCATCACATACCCACCTCCCACCCTCAATCCTATCCCCCTTTGGCTTTGTCCATGTGTCCTTTATACATACTCCTGAAAACCCTTCCCCCTTTACCCTCCACTATCCCCTCCCCCTCCCCTCTGGTTAATGTCAGTTCTTTATTTTAAGAATGAAAATTTGTAAAGTATTTTCAGTTTTACTATAAAAATAGACGTACAACAACGGTTGTCTAAGTCATTTCTTGGCTCTACTGTCATTTAGTACTTGCTCTTGAGTGTCTTTCTTTGCTTTTACCATCTTGACAAGGAAAGGAGAAAGTTGTTATTTAGAATTGGTAGACATTTCTAGTGTTTGGTTTAAATATGTAAACAATGCAAACTGGATAAATCTGAAATTAAAGACACTACCAAAAAGGTTGATTTTACTAATAGCCAGAGGTCTGAGAGTTTCAAAGGCTGGTTATTTCTTTGTAATCATGGTCCCATGACCACCGTGGTATTGAAATAAGTAAAAATCTATAAACTCAAAACATCCACAGCAGCAACAACAAAAGAAGCATGCTCAAATGGCTGTTATAGGAATTAACTACTTGGAAGAGAGCTTGATGAATTTAATAAGAATGGCCCGGATTGACTTTAGAATTAGAGCTTTGGTGGAAGGGAATAAAATAAAGGTTGATAAATTTGGATAGAGGGATCCTGGCATCACATCACCATCTACCTTTCTTCCCTCCCACAGGAAGGAAATATATGGAATCTAAAGGATCGGTCAAATTCTAGAGCTGGGCATGTCATACTATATACATTATTTATTAATGTATAGGTGGTTTACATTAATTCAGAGCCTTTTTTGTCTTGATTATTTTCTCCTGGCAATTTCTTGTGAAATTGTAGTCAAAATGGTTTTCTGAGCTCTATCATTGTGCCACAACTCTGTCACTCAGTGGCTGCATTTGAGGAGGACAAATAATTATGTGAGCAGCATGATTTTCTGATGAACAAATTAAGCCCAATATTTATTAGTAATAACTGCCTTCTCTTACAGTGGATGATGAAAAACTGCAGGGTGGATTCATGTTGTGCTTCCTGGATGATGGATGTGGGATGAGCCCTGGTAAGTTAATTATCTTGATACCTAACTGGCTGTTAGAGGAAACAGTCTGAAAACCCATAAAATAAATAAAAGTAAATTGAGCTAGCTGTGCAAAAACAGGTATGGAGCTATTAGGGAAAATAAACCCCAGTGTTAACATATTGAACTTTTTAGTTTACATATTTCAGCTGACAGAGTAAATTCATTGCAACCATCTAAACCAGGACAAAAAGTGAATGTAAATAAATATTGCTAGAAAAATGAAAGGCAGAAGTTACCTGATTACTTGTACAAAAAACATCTGGGAATAAATGGAATACAAATAGTTACTGGTTGGATTCTGAAATCATTTTTTTAGACCATCCTCCTGGTATTGCTTGTAAGAACCCTGAGGCAGTTTCCAGTGCCTTTAGGCAATTTAAAGTTTTGTGCTTAACCTTGAGGCGGAGGTCACCCCTCCTTGTTTTTAGCAGTTTGTGATTTTTCTTTGCAGGTTCAAAGGGTTAGTTGATTCAATTGAATGTACCCATCATAATGAATACCTCTACAATACATTTCATGAATTATCTTTGTATCTTCAAGGCTAGCAAAAGCCAGCACAAAGTAGGTGCATAATGCCTATTTGCTGTGGAGTTGAAATGTTATTTATTTGCTCTGATGAGGGCTTTGAGTTATTTGGGCTAGCTTAACCTTGAGTTCTTTTTTAAAAATTGTATTTTATTGATTATGCTATTACAGTTGTCCTGATTTTTCCCCCTTGTCCCCCTCCACCCAGCACCCCCCACTCCCTCAGGCAATCCCCCCACCATTGTTCATGTCCATGGGTCATGCATATAAATTATTTGACTACTCCAGGGGTGTCCAAACTTGGCAATTCTGGGCCACACTGGAAGAAGAGTTGTTTTGGGTTACATATTAAATATTCTACAACATGTAACTACAAAAAATCTTGTAATGTTTTAAGTAAATTTACAAGTTTTTGTTGGGCCCCATTTGTATCTATACTGGGCTGTATGTGGCCCATTGGCTGTGGGTTTGAAAGCTCTGCTCCATTTCCTACACTGTGCTTTACATTCCTGTGGCTGTTCTGCAGCTACCTATTTATACTTCTTCATTCCCTCACCTCTTCACCCATTCTCCTCCTCCGTCTTTCATTTGGCAACCCTCTGGTAACTAACTTCTTTTCTCTTGCTGCTTTTAAGAGTCTCTTTTTATCTTAAACCTTTGGTTTTTAAATTATGATGTGCCTTGGAGTGCGCCTCTTTGCATCCATTGTAATTGGGTCTCTCTGTGCTTCTTGGACTTGCATGACTATTTCCTTCACCAAATTAAGGAAGTTTTCTTTCACTAAATTTTCTGATAGATCTCCAATTTCATGCTTTTTCTTTTCTCCTTCTGGTACCCCTATGGAACAAATGTTGGAGCTCTTGAAGTTGTCCCAGAGGCTGCTTTTACTATCTTCATTTTTTTGGATTCTTTTTTTTTTGTTATTCTCTGTGGTGGGTTTTTGCTTCCTTATGTTCCAAATCAATTTGATTCTTGGTTTCATTCACTGTACTGCTGTTTTAAAAATTATATTTTTACAAAATATAAACAGAAACATTGAAATAAAGAACAAACCAGACAGTAACCACTTCGGCTCCCAGCCCTACCCATCCCTGCCTCCTACCCTCGAAACTACACCCTTTGGCTTTGTCCATGTGTCCATTATCCATGTTCCTTGATGGCCCTTCCCTTATTTTCCCCCAATATTCCTCTCCACCCTCCCCTCTGGTTAGTGTCAGTTTGTTCTTTAATTCAATGTTTCTGGTTATATTTTGCCTGCTTGTTTATTTTGTTGATTAGGTTCCACTTATAGGTGAGATCATATGGTATTTGTCTTTCACTACCTGGCTTATTTCACTTAGCATAATGTTCTCCAGTTCCATCCATGCTGTTATGAAGGGCAGGAGCTACTTCTTTCTTTCTTCTGTGTAGTATTCCATTGTGTAAATGAATACCACTGCTGGGATTATACCCTAAGAACCCTGAAACACCAATTCAAAAGAGTCTATGCAACCTAGTGTTCATAGCAGCACAATTTACAATAGCCAAGTGCTGGAAGCAAACTAAATGCCCACCAGTAAATGAGTGGATGAATTCTTAAAATAAAAGAATATGTGATATATTCTAAGGCAATTCTTTAAAAAAAAGAGGCAATTCATTTTGTGTATCTCCATGAACAAAATGGTCAAAGCACAGGAATGCGACAGATACTCAGTTCTTCTGAAGGAATATGCTTCAGTTGACATATAGAGTAGTATTAAGAAAAGCCCATTAGTGTCAAGAGAGCAATTCTTTATTAACACTGATTAGAAATTAAGTAATAAGTTAGAAGGAAGAGTCTATCTGTTGTCCAAACTGAGCCAGATCAGTCTTGACCCTAAAAAGGTGACTGCAGAAATTTCCAAACTCTCACCTCCCATCTTGTCTCATGACAGTCCTTTCCCCCTACACATACCCTGAGAGGGCTTTTTCTTTTAATATCAATGATATCATTATTCTCCTGATTAAAACTTTTAGTGCTTTTTCATTCCTTCAGAGTAAAATTTATGCTCCCCAGTAGCACTTTCAATTTGTGTGATTTGCCCTCTGACCTTTTCTCCTATCATTTACCTTGCTTATAGCATTCTAGCCACATCATCATTTGAATCTCATCTAAATTTTCACCTTATAAAAGGGGCTTTCCCTGATCATTCTGTCTGTAGGACATGCTCCTGTTAATTTTCAATCACATTGACCTGGTTTTGTTACCTTCACTTAACACTTGCAGAACAGTTCTTGTTTATTTGCCTACTTTTTTCAATCTGTTTCTCTTACCATGGCATATGGTTCTTGAGAGCAAGGGTCATGTGAGTTGGATTCAGTGTTCTGACCCTCTGCTCAGAACTCTAGCCACCACACATAGGAGTCTATGTGGTGTGTAATGCAAACCGTGCAATATGGTCTTTGACAAATCTGGGTTGTAATCCTGGTGGTAGAATATATCCGCTGTGTGACCTTGGGAAGGCTACATAAACTCCTTAAACTTCAATATCCTCATCTGTAACATGCAAATAATAATAATAATACTGTGTTCCTTGCTGGTTTGTTGTAAATATTAAATAGTGCATGTAATGTATAGAACATAGCACCTAGAATATACTAAACTATCAGTGAATTGTAACTAATACTGTCCTTTTGGATACATGTTACCTAATCTCCATTCCTGTATAAGAACATGTGATTGAATGTCAGGTTAGCTTCTGACAAGCAGAGTGTCTGGCAGCTTCTACACATCCCATACCAGGTGCTGCCGAGCTACAGCATGTGTACCCCCAGACTGACACACGGTCCCAGCACAGTTTGGGAGCATAAGTTCAAATAGGCCAAATGGAAGGCCCATTTCTGTCTTTTTTGATTTACCTGGCAGCTTTCTGGAGGTATGTATTAGTATTTTCTGAAATCCAGAAGACTTGTCTAGAATTCCAGAATGCCCTGAAGAAAACAGGGAACTAACTCTAAAAGTTTGGAACAAGTAGCCCTTGCTTCCCAGGTGGTATCAGATCAGAGCCATTCTTTCTTCTCAGCCCCACAGGGGGCTGAATAGAGGCCAAATTTACAGAAAATTACTAGTGGTACAAATAATCATAATGCTAAAAATTTATTAGCATTTATCAAGTGCTGTGTGTTATGTCCAGGGCTTGAAGACTAGATCTTATTTAATTCATTTATCTTGATCAACAACTGTGTTATATGTGCTAGTATTTCCCTTTTAAGAGAGATGAGGAAATTAAGCCTCAGAGTTTTAAACTCTTATTTGCCCAAATTCACGTGGCTAAGTCTGTCAGACCTCCTTTAATATAATAGTATTAAGATCCTGGTCAGAGACTATGGAGCCTGACAAGAAGCTTTGTTTCTGGGCTGACCCAAGAGGTGTGGGTTTGTCCTAACACCCTGAGACATGCCCCTATAAACTACTCATAATTCTTAACCACCCTCAACATTGTTGTGTATTACAGAGGAAGCTTCAGATATCATTTACTTTGGAACATCCAAGAAACGGTTGTCGCCCTTGAAGTTTATTGGACAATATGGCAATGGTCTTAAAAGGTGGGAATTTTTTTCTTTAAGGCACGTATTATTGATATTGGAATAATATTTAGTTACAGGTAATCTTATACAGCATGGTCCAAGTTCATAAAACTTTAAAAAGAATATAAACTTGGGAGTGCTACCTTGCTTTGGAATCTCCATTTCTATAACTGACTTAGATCTATACAACATTCTAAAATTTATTTTTCAAACAGATGGTGAATCTTCTTTCAGGAATAGCTGTACTCTAGAGCTTAATTGCATGTCTGTGGTTTATTGTTTCTCAAAGCATAGTTTAGCATAGTGTCCATGGCTTATTTCAGTAGACTGTCTCAATGAAAGGCAAGGACGCAGGCCACTATCATCAGTGTGGCTCCTGCCAGGGACAGATGATTGTTTTCTTCAGCCCCAGACAGCACCTTCTCCCTAGAAGTCGTGTCTCAAGCAGCAGTGTGGGGCTGGATTAGTTCAAATGCATCTGCTCTACTCAGAAAAAAAAATCATATTGTACTCTGTTGGTGATGGGTCAGCAAAACAGTGGAGTTATTTCTATGAAGAGAAAACCCTTCTTTTTATTGTTTGAGATGTAAACTGTTATGTTCTTGAATTTTTTTATAGTGGATCCATGCGGATTGGAAAAGACTTTATTCTCTTTACAAAGAAGGAAGAAACAATGACCTGTGTTTTTTTTTCTCAGACATTCTGTGAAGGAGAAGGTCTGAGTGAGGTAAGAGTTGAGATTTTTTCTTTCATTCCAATGGTGTTGGTATTGTTCTCTATAATGAGTTCTTTCTGATTGTGGTTTAGAAGGTTAGGAGTACGTTTGGGAAATCAGAAAAGGTGGCTGGGGTCATTGGAGGCCTCTCCTGTTGACCCTTTCTTAGGTTTTTAACTTCTAGGAAGTTTTCATAACTTTATTTACATGATCTGCATTCCCAAACCTCCCAAAACAAGAGGCTCCTTTTGGCACAATGAGCTATTTTGGAAGAAGTCTGCAACACATTTCTACCACTTGTGCCATAAATGGATTATCAGTCTTAAAATACATAGAATATTGGGTTCAAAGTCTTAGAATATAAAATCTAAAAAAAATTGAATTTGAAACTGTAACTTGGGTGACCATAATTTCAACTCCATTTGATGACCCAGAGATTTTAATATTCAGTGTCCGAGTTTTACTATTAAGAACATCAGTTATGATTTACTATTAAGAACATTGGTTATGATTCAGTACATCAAATACATATTGAGGAACTGCTGTCTACCCAGCACTGGGTAGACTCTGGGGAAGTTAGAAAACAAGCAGAAGACCATCTGACCGTAAAAGTGTTTCCATCACTGTCACAAAATAAGGCAGATGCATATGAATTGTATAAATAACAAAATGGAGGTGTTTAGACTTGACTTGGGTTGGCAAACACACAATACAGTATACAGGTGATGTGTTATAGAATTGTGTATCTGAAACCTATATAATTTTATTAATGAACATCACCCCCCAAAAATAAAAAAAACCCAAAACCAAAATGGAGGTGTCAGTGAGGATGTGTTTCTGCTGTTACAAATTGCTAAAAGCAATCATATGGATGGAGACATTAGAGAACCTTGAGTGGTCCATGAGGGTTTTATGGAGTGAGTGAAGGCTGGTTCCTGGAGAGCAGTGGCATACAGCCAGTCTCAGACCCGGAGACAGCATGGGGTTTGGAGGGACAGTGTGAAAATGGGAGATTGCCCAGCAGGAGCTGAGTGTGCTCACTGGCTGCAGTGGACTGGGGCTGGGTAATAGGAACAGTCGGCAATGGAGAGTAGCTGAGTGGGATGCTGACATGAGGCAAAGAGATGTGTTAAGCATTTATGTTGTACTTTATGTATGTAAAGGGCATGTGAAACTGGGCCGAAGCTTTGGGGTTATAGCTTTTCTAAAATGGACCATTCCCCCCACATCACCATTTTATTTTTTCAATAAAACCAACCACCTCTTTTCATTTCCACAGAAGCAGTCTCTTTTAGTAATATTACTTAATACTTTTGATATTTTTTCTGGATATCTCTATGTAACAGGTTTACAATGTTGTTTCTTCTTTTTTTGCAGCAGGGAAGATAATTAATAAATTCACAAAAATCAACATTGCAATAAAACTGTACAAATATTTGGCTAAATTTAAAAACTTTTATGAGTGTTCCCAGCAAGCAATTGGAATTACAAGAAATTACAAGAAATACTAGGCCTTTGTGCAATTGTATTGCTACTTTTGATTTGGTTTAGTCATTATCAATTAATCTCCCATTGTAAAAGAGGAGGGTTTATTTTTTCCTCTACTCCTTCCATACACATACCCTTCCAATTTCATCGCTTAATTGTAATTATGATTATGGCAATATTCAGTATACATTATGAGACTATGTAAACACCATTCTTAATCATATCATGTTATAAACTATTATTTTTCCCATTCTTGCATGACTTTTTACTTTCCCTGGAATTAATAGTTGTCTGTTCAGTGTTCTATATACTTATCACTACCACTGAGTACATGCTTGGTTTTCTATGCCTTTATCGCTTCTCATGGGTGCTGCAACTCCCACTTCTCATGGGTGGTGCTGAGCTGCCATCCTGGGATCTGCCCATGCCATCGTCCAGGCAAGTCTCCTCATCTCTCCTCTGTGTTCAATCTCAGATCCTGAATCTCATGTCTTCTTTCATAGCTTGTTCCCTCTTTTTGGTGTAACATATCCTCCAGTAGCATTTTAGCAAAGGTGCATGAAAGGTAAAATTATTTTGAGATCAGAAAAGCATAAAAATGTTATCTTGACTGAAAATGTAGTGATAATTTGGTTTGGTGTTATTGCTAGGTTGGAATAAATTTTCCTTTGGAACTTCGAAGGTATCGCTCCATTATTTTCTAAGTTCTAGAGTTATTGTTAGGGGGTCTGAGGCCATTTTAATTCCTGAGTCTTGTATGTGGCCCAGCACCCTCCCCCACCCACATACACAGCTTTTTGAAGGTCAGCTTTATCTTCTTTGTCCTGCTTGTCTCCAGTATTCTGATTTCAGTGTTTTGCTTTTGGATGGATCTATTTGGATCCATTGTGTGGGCACTTGTTAGACATTTGCGAAATGGAAACTCGTGTCCTTCAATTCTGGGGTAATTTTCTATAACGTTGGAAGATTTTCTTTCATCTATAACTTTTTATAACTACTCTTTCTTAGCTCTTGGATGTCTAAGACCAGTTCTTTAATTTTCTTATTTTTCCTCTCCTATATTTTTCCATTGCATTTTTGTTTCATTTTCTGGGAGATTTTTTAACATTTCTATTTTAACCCCTTCCTAGAAAAAAATTTCCTATAGTCATATTCTTAATTTCCAAGAAATCTTTCTCTCAATGTTTCCTTTTAAAAGATACCTAGTTCTTTTTTCATGGATATAGTTCTCCCTCTTAGAGCTCTGAAGCTATTAACAATGATCGATTATTTTTCTTCTGACAATTTCATGTTTTTCCTATGGCTTCTCTTTCCACTGAGTTGCTTTGTTGATGCTTGTTTATTTGGTCTCTACTTATCATACTATAGGCTTTTCTTAGGCGGCTATTCATCCTGAATACAGTGTATCCTCACTGAACTTCCTGAATAGGTTCTTGGAAACTGTGACTTTAAGGAAATAGTGTATATAATGAAACCAATTTTCCCATAGGCTAATTGATGTAAATAACAGTTAAGTTTCTTGGCATATTTCTGGTTACAAAACATTAACCAAACTTACAAAAATCTGAAACACTTCCAGTATTAAACATTGAAATAAGTGCAAGCTACACTAATACATTTAAGAAAGATTAATAGAACAAGATAATTATTTTCCAACCCATTTATTCCAGTACAGGGTCATGGGCATGGGTGGCCTCTCTCAGTAGCTCAGGGCACTCAGTGGGACCCCACCCTGGGCAGAGTGCCCTTCCATTGCAGAGCCACTCACAGACACCCACGCTCACTCAGACTGGGGCAGTTCAGACACACCAGTCCACCTCATATGCACATTTTTGGGATGTGGGAGAAAACCAGACTATCTGGAGAAAACCCACATGGACATGGGGAGAATGGAAAAACTCCACACAGGCTGTGGCCCAGGCAGAGAATTTTTTTCTCATCAGCATTGTAATGAAACAATGTTGAATGGAATGACATTTGAGAATCTGCTGTACTCTGAAGATTAGTCCAATAAAATGCCTATTGGGAGCTCTGCAGTGTGGGTGGGGCTTGGCAGCTATAAGTGGCACCATAATGAGATCTAGCTGGGTTGTTATATTGGGAAACTCTCAATGTAATATTTTTTTTTATGTCTTTCCTCCCAGACTGGTCAGGTTTCTCAGAGAAGACACCTGCAGCCTTCTGCCTGAAGTCTTATGTGACAGCTTTCTCAGAGTCAAAGGGGAAAAGAGATCTGGGATTCCCAGTATCTAATGTGTATGCTCTCAATTAATCCTTCCCATCTCAGTAACGTCCCCTGACAACTATACTTGGCATGCCATCTAATTTAGAAATGCTTTGTTTTAGTCTTTCCAGAGAATGAACATCCGGTCCCTGTGGAGGTGGGGGAGCTCTTGCCAGATGGGGGTATGGATGCTCTTCTGTCTTTCCCCTTTGCCTGCCTCCAGAGTTAATTCATATACACATTTGTTATGTGTCTCTTCTTTATAAAACCAGGATACAGGAGGAAAGTAAACTTCTAATTTTGTGTTTGGTTTCATAATTTGGCCAAAGAGTGGACTGAATTTTCATCAGACAAAAGGATGATGTTTTTTATTGTGCATTTTACAATAAATTAATATTTATTTTTAAAATAGGTTGTGGTTCCAATGCCCTCATGGTTAACAAGAACCAGAAAACCTGTCACAGATGATCCTCAGAAATTCTCAACAGAATTGTTTATAATTTATAAGTACTCTCCATTTAAAACTGAAGTTGAATTAATGCGGCAATTTGATGTCATCTATGGCAAATGTGGTAAGATCATCAAAACTGAAATTTTGTTGGAAGTATTTTCAGTGTCTTATGAAAGGTGCTGTACGTATGTGTTGATGTTTTTTTCTCTTTATAATATCATGTGGAGTTTCACCATGGGGCAGGCATTTATTTTATCCATATAAGTTTTGTATTAAGAGAATTCAAACATATATAACTCCAAGTCCCTGACAATGGGAGAAATGTTTGTACTTGCATGAACTTGGTGAGAATGGATGAGAAGAGGATGATACAAGCTGTGACCATAGGGGCTCCACAGCCCCACACCAGGTACCAAAGTGGGGAGGTGCTTATTGCAGCATCTAAGATTACATGATTCCAGGTTTGGAAGAGTTGGCAACTTATAAAGTAATGAATCCAAGTTTCTGTGGCAGTTCTCAAAAACCTTGTAAATACTCCTTTACAAACTAATAGATCTTTTTTGCATTCTTTCAACCTCCACCAACTTTCTACTCAACATGAAGAATGTGCTATGTCTAGTAACATTTTCCAGTGCCAGTATTTGCCTAGACTTCCAACACTTTCTATATCTAGAAGCCAAAAGGATCCTACCTTAGAGAAAACTATGTGCATTCTGCTTTTTCAAGTCCTTGATTTATGTAATGTTTATTAGAGAAACTCTGAGAGATTTGTTTCTGATTAGCCTATGTTACTTTTGAAGTTTCTTCTCTAACCTCCAATAGTGATGTTTTGTGTCATCCTTTCCTCCTTCTTATAAAGGAAAATATTGGCAGTTAAACTGTCCTTTCATTAGCATGTACATGCTATACTTTGAGGACCATTAATGTAATCTCTTAGTTGACTTCTAATTATGAAATACTCTTTCAAATGCTGATGGAGAGCATACTATTTCCTGAATACTTTTCTAAAGGGTTTATAAAAATTAACTCATTTAATCCTCAAAACAACTGTACATTTTAGATACTTTGTAAACTCTACTGTATAGGTTAGAAGAGTTGGGTTCAGCAAGGTTAGGAAGCTTATCTGAGGTCATTGCACTGGTAAATGTTTGACCCAGGATTTAGACACAGGCCTTTGGGCTCCCAAGTCCAGTTCTTAGCCCTGTGCAGTTCTTCCTGGTATTTATTTAAGCACTACCAAACAAGGGTAATTGGTTGTTCTTTTAATTTCTCTGGCAGTCCTGTTTGTCTTCCTATTATAAGCAACTCTAAAGAATTTGGACTTTTTTGTTAACTGTCCATCAAGGCAAGGTCAGCACACTGTGGCCCACAGGTCTAATCTGGCTTCATACCTGTTCTTGTAAATACAGCTTTATTGGAATATGGCCAACTCATACATATATGTATTGTCAGTGGAAGCTTTCCTGCTACAGTGGTAGAGTTGTGAGTAGTTGTGACAGAGACCATATGGCCTGTAGAATGTGGAGTATCTATTTTGTGGCCCTTTACTGAAAAAATTTGCCACACCTGTTATAGGGTCTAAAACAACACCTCATATTTGTACAAATTTTTAAAACTCATATTTGTTTTCATGTTCATTGATTGTAGTTCTACCAATGAGAGCTTTACCTGTAATACAAATTTGGATAAGTCTCCTAACAATTTTTATAATGCAAATTATGAAAAGTGCCCAAGCTTAAGAATCCTCATTGAAGGACATAATAAAATGAGTAGTGAAAAGAAGTACTATATGGTAGAATCGCAACACTCTTCAGCAGAGAGCGGAATTTACTATAAGTCATATATCTTGGAAGTTATCCAAACATATTTACTGAAGTACAAAGGGAGATTTGGCCTAGAGCAAGCTTAAATCAATAGATGAGATAATATCACCATGACTGATATTTAGTATAGTTAAAATATTGACAAGTCAAACATCTATTTTACACTAGGTACTTTCCTGGTTATTTATAACCTGAAGCTTTTGCTTAATGGAGAGCCAGAGTTGGATATTAAAACTGACAACGAAGATATACTGATTGCTGGAGCTCTTGAGGGGTAAGTAATGTGTGTGTGACAAAATGTCTCTCAGAATGGCACTGAACTGTCATCAGCAGCCCTGCGTCCTGGTTCCCAGTCTGAGGCTACTGAACCTCAGTACTGTATGAGCACAATTCAATTCACACTAGTTACAGATGAAGTAAGTTAGGCTATAGCACTGGTTCTGAAACCTGACTAAGATTCTGAGTGACCTGGGCAGCTTATTAAGAAGTATGACTAAGATTCTGGGTGACCTGGGCAGCTTCTTAAGAAGTATAGGATCTTATTTCATCCCAGGCCTACTGAATCAAATTCTCTAGATATCAAGCCTAGAAATGAATATTTTCTGTGTGTTCCCCAGGTGATTCAGAGGGGCCAGCATGTTTGCGAACCCCTGGAATATAAGATCCCTAATAATAATCTCTAATTCCAAGCCTCCTGTTTTATGAATATTAAAACTAAAAAAAAACACCCTGAAGAGTATAATTCATACAGAGCATTAAAAATGCATCAGTATGGAGTGAAGCAAAAAGGAATACTACCAAATGGCAATTCACAATACCCCTATGAACTGTATACTTACAGCTTATATATAAATAAATTGACATTCATTTTTCTTGGCTATTAGCAATCCATAAAAACGGAATGAGAAGTTACTGGGGGGCCGTGTGGGTGAGAAAGTGTGGAGAAGCAATGAACTAGGGACTACACCTAGGCTTCTCTAAAATAACTTTGTGTTTAAAACTTATTAGCTTGAGCATACAATTTCCTAGTGTTAGAATTTTAGAGCTAGAGGGAATTGAAAGGAATTTTATCCAATCTGAGACATTTCACATACCAGTATTGTCCAACAGAAACATAATGAGAGCCACAGACATGAGCCACATATGTACTCTTAACCTTTCTAGTAGCCACACTAGTAAACATACAAAGAAAGAGGTGAAATGAATTTAACAATGTTTTAATTTAATCTGGCATATATGAAATGTTATAATTTCAATTTGGATATAAAAATATGAAGAAATATTTTACATTCTTGTTAACACTGTCTTTGAAACTCAGAGTGTACTATACACACAGCACATAGAAATTTAAAACAGAGCCTGGACACCTGATAACCACAGGTGTCCAGTGCTGTTGTATTGGAGAGTGCAGGTTTAGACAAAGACATTCACACCCATGTAAACACATTAGTAAAGAATTTTTTTTTTTTTTGCTGTTGAGGTAAAATTTATAAAGTCTTTTCCACTGTTAGAAAATTTAATGTTTGGTATCACCTTTTTAGATGATCTTTTCTACTTTTTTCTGATTTATATTTTTACTTATTTTATTCCAACATGTGGAATTCTTAATTTACAAAGAAATGGAGGTTGTTTTCTTTTGGAATAAATATCCAGCCTAATTACTGTCGGACAAATGCTGGGAAACCCTCTGCCAGCACTGACAAGCCGGTATCAGAAAGGAGGCCCAGAGTTGTTACTAGCACATCCATTACTGTCTCCCCCTTTCCTGCTGGCCCTGTCCTTCTCCTTAAGAGCTGGTTCTAAAACCAGTACCTCATGCTGTTTAAAAGCCTTGAGCATAAATTTTCAAATGGTTATCTCTCAGAGTGCCTTGGCCTTTCAACACTACCATCAGGAAACAATACAATATTAGAGGATTAATTTGAAAGCTTATTCTTTGGGAAAAAGTTCTTAGTGTTTCCAGATTGTTTAACGAAGCCAGAAGCTTTCTAAGCCATTTAGGCAGTTAATTATAAAATAAAGAAAATGGATAGGACCTAAGAAGTGTACATATGACTACATTGGATTTCTTTTGTTTGATTTTTCAACAAAATTTTTCATAGTTTAACCACAAAGTCTTTTAAATACGAGGATGAGGTCTTATGACAAGGATTAGTATGAAGAGGCCACAATTTCTGTACTAAAGATAATATATTTCATGGCTTCTCATAGGAGTACGCGGTGGTGCCAAGAACGGGTAGCACTTTCACCTCAGGGAGAGGGTAGCAATGCCCCCTGCATTTTCTCCTCTGAAAAGCCAGTGGGTTCTGATGTTAACACCTCATTCCTCCACTAACCAGGAAAAAATGAATTCTTGGGGCTAAAATAATACTTCTGGACCAAGATGGATCTTTATGACACTTCTTGCATTTAAGACTTTTGATATTTGAACTTCCATGTGGAGGATACTGGCCAGCAGTATCCATCCCTGCTGCAGTTGCTCGTCGAAACATGAGAAAAACATACACAGGGACAACCGAGTCTTGTGGGGAAATACGGAGGAAACGGCCACTCTTGCTGGTGGAGAGCACCCCGAGTCCCCGCCTGAGTAGGCTTTTATTAAGAATACAGACACAGTTTGTGGATACAGTCTGGCAGGGAAGATCAAAAGGAATAGGTAGTTTTCAGAGGGACCGACAGAACTCCTGCTTGGATTCTGGGCAGAGTTTAGGGTTTTAATCACTTAATAAGACTACAAGACCTAAAAGGCTAGTTTCATTTCCTGTCTGTGCCTTCATATTCTAATTCCATAGCATCCTCCAGCAAGCAGATCTCACAGGATCTTGCATATTCTATGTCCCAGGCCTGATTACCCCGGGGGTCTGCCAACTCTGGTCTGGACTACACCGCCCCTATTATTTCCACAGGCCTGAGTCAGGCAGAGGAGACAAAGGAAGCCAGGAGACTTGGATTTCTCACAACTAAGAACAAGAACTCAGGCTTTGACAAAGCGGAGGGTGCAGGGGTCGATGTCAATCACCCCTTCATTTCCACAGCCCTGAGTCTCTTCCCTGAGGCCTCCACGTGATCATGCCTCTCTTAGGCAATTCCCCCCATGGGAAATCTTACCTGTCATTGGCTAACTGATCAAGCATAGGCCAGGCACATAACAGGCAGTGTTCATGCCAGGGAAATAAGTTTTGTCTCCTTAGTGCCTCCTGGTTCAGAGGTCTCTCACTCAGCCTAAGTCGTGGGGGGTTACAGCTTCCTGAGACCAGGCAGGGCAGACCCCAACACCAATCAAGTGCAGTTTACATTATCTTGGTTTCTAGAACAAGAGGTTTATAATGTAATAATAACTCCTTTACTGTTTCTTTTTTCTTGTAGTCATTGTGTCCCCTTCAACCCACTGGGAATGCTTCTACATCTGTCCAAAACAAGTTTCAAACATGGGAACTGTGTTATTTTCACCTTTGGTCTTAGTGTAGTCCTGCTGGTTCTGAAAATAATTCAATTTTCTACATAGGAATAGAAAATTACAGGCTTTCAGGCTTTTATTTGGTCTCAGAGAAGAGGTTTTCTGGTATTATTTATTTTCTTCCAATTTTTTATATTGTAAAATCCAAAATGAAATAATACTTTAAAATTTTTTAGGAAATAATTTACATGTTATTATTAATTTGTATTATTCCATTCTAGTGTTTAAGTATAAATATTCATTTTTCTGTTTTCATTTATGATTTGCTTTTAAACTTTATTTTCAATTATTATGTAATCTTTCCCATTTTTAATTTTATTTTCATTTATTTTTAAATTAACATTTTTTTCAGTTACAGTTTACATTCAATGTTATTTTGTATTAGTTTCAGGTAAACAGCATAGTGGTTAGACAGTCATTACTTTATAAAGCATCCCCCTGATATTTCCAATATCCAACTGGTACATACACAAGTTATTACTGTATTATTGACTGTATTTCCCTTGCTGTACTTTACATCCCCATGACTAATTTACAACTACCAGTCTGTACTTCTCAGTCCCTTCACCTTTTTCACTCAGTCTACCAAATCCCCTTCCCTCTGACAACCATCAGTCTGTTCTATGTATCTATGAGTCTGTTTCTGTTTTGTTTGTTCATTTATATTGTTCTCTAGAGTGAACATATAAGTGAAATCATATGGTATTTATCTTTTTCTGACAGACTTATTTCACTTAGTTTAATACCCTCTAGATCCATCCATGCTGTCCAAAATGGTAAAATTTCATTCATTTTTATGGTTGAGTAATGAGTATTTCATTGCATATATTCCACTATTTAAGCAATTTTTTTATTGTTCAGTTACAGTTGTCACACATTTTTCCCCATTGCTGTTCCCTGCCCTGCCCACCCCACTCCCTGCTGCCACATTCAATTCTCACACCATCATCCTGCCCGTGGATCTTCTAATGTGTTCCTTGACTTGCCGCTTCCCTTACTTTCCCACATTATCCCCCTTCTCCCTCCCCTCTGGTTGTTGTCAGTTTATTCTTTATTTCCATGTCTCTGGTTATATTTTGCTCATTTGTTTTGATGATTAAGTTCCACTTACAGGTGAGATCATACAGTATTTGTCTTTCACTGCCTGGCTTATTTCACTTAGCATAATGCTCTCCAGATCCATCCATACTGTCATAAAGGAAAGGAGTTCCTTCTCTCTTTCTGTTGCATAGTATTCCATTGTGTAAATGTACCACAGTTTTCGATCCACTCATTTACTGATGGGCATTTAGGTTGCTTCTAGCACTTGGCTATTATAAATTGTGCTGCTATGAACATTGGGGTGCATAGGTTCTTTTGAATTGGTGTTTCAGTATTCTTAGGGTATAATTTCAGCACTGGAATTACTGTATCAAAAAGCATGCAATTTTTAGTTTTTTGAGGAATTTCAATACTGTTTTCCACAGTGGCTGCACCAGTCTGCATTGCCACCAACAGAGTACTAGCGTCCTTTTTCTTCACAGCCTCACCAGTACTTGTTTGTTAATTTGTTAATGATGGCCATTCTGACCAGTGTGAAGTGGTGTCTCACTGTGGTTTTAATTTGTATCTCTCTGAGGCTAGTAATACTGAGCATTATCCACTCAGCTGTTGATGGGAACTTGGGTTGCTTCCATAGCTTAGCCATAAATAACACTGCAGTGAACATAGGGATGCCCATATTCTTTCAAATTAGTGTTTTGATTTTCTTTTTTTTTGATTTTTAAAATATATTTATTTTTAGGGAGAGGAGAAGGGAAGGAGAACGAGAGGGAGAG